CAGGAAGAAAGGATAGACACAATACCCTGTTGTGATGATAGATTTGAGGCCAGACTGATAACAGAGTTTGAATCCAGAGGTGGGTAACAAAATCTTAAAATGGTTGTGAGAAATAGGTACCTGGCAAAATATTAGGCAAATCACAGACATCATGCTGTTGGCTACAGGAAATTACATGGTTTAACCATAGGGCTATTTTGACGCAAGATCAAAGACCTGCCTCAGTAGATCCTTTGCAAAGCATTGTGAGTTCAGACGTAGAGGGTGCAGGCCTTTCAGAACCCATAATCAGCTTATGTGCTAGAGTATGGCTTTCTGTTCCTCACTTGCCCCTCCTTGATACCAGCATAAAAGGAAAAGAATGACACTGATTATTTTATCCCGCCAGCCACAAGGCATAATCCTTATGCTTTGACAAAAAAAAAAGAGCAGGTGAAAGGTTAAATAAAGGTTAGTTGATAGAAGATGAGGAGGAAAGAGCAGGAAATGAGAGATGAAAGGCTCGGGGGGGGGGGAAATGGGAAGGCAAGAGGATAAAGATGACAAAAGGAGAAAGGAAAAGATATAGAAAGAGAGGAAAGGTCATCAGCAATAACTGCTGTTAGCACACAGAATTGTCTTGATGAAATAAGCATGATCGGAGGTCACCACAACCTGTCTTTTTAAATTGCTCATTACAATTTTACTAGGCAAGCACTGCAACAGGAGCCCTGCCCATTTCCCTTTCCTTCGATATCCGCTGAGCAAATGCCTCCGAGATCAGCTCTAGCTAATTTCCTTAAAGACATGCAAGCTGCTAATTCTGGGAAGTACAGATAGTCAGGAATAACAAATACAACCAAAATTAGATTAAAATAACCTGCTGATAAACAAATTACTCACCAAAAATAAATACCGGATTAAACACCAGTGGGTGTGGGGATCCCTATAGTAACATCGCCATCGTGTGGCTTCAGGTGCTGAGCAGCAGCGTCTGGTTTGGGCCATCACACTGCCTTCAGCCTGCAAACCCCTGGATATGTACTTCTCTGCACTTATAGATCAGGTATCCAGTTTTCTTCCACTCCCCCAAAACTGAGAATCCTTTGCCTGTTTTATTCCGGGGGGCCAAATTCACTAAAAGCAATACAGCCTATGGAAAAAGTAGAGGGATGCAAGGACAGAAAAAAAGAGATTCTGGGAAGGATGCTGTGCCTCGTCCCACCTCGGTTTATCTATAGCTCTTGCTGTCTAAACCCCCTTCCTCACCCTGGGCTGTAGTAAGCATCTAGAAACTGAAGAACAAAGGATGGACAGGTGTAACACTGGAAAGCTTGACTCTAACTTCCAAGAGAAGAGTAAAAGGCTCCTGATGCACTCATGGCTCTTCAGCACAATCACAGATATTTACCAAGCAACACGTCCAGCCTGTATAATCATGTAGTTCAGAGAGTTAACAGCATGGTGGAGAGACAATAGATATAAAAAAAACCAGCAAAGCAGTGGAGGAAAGGCTTGCTACAGGCTGTTTGCTGCGTGCACATGTGCATGGCAGGTGGAGAACAGCAACTGAGAACAGGATGCAAAGACTGACTCTGGGATGACTGACTCTGGGATGCTTGGAAAGAGGAAGTCAGGAGCAAGAAACTGGCTGATGGTCAGGCAAGAAACATCTTCTCTATGTCAGTAATCTGAGCTTCCACTAATAGAAAGATGCAGCACTGTTAGAAAGGACCTAAACTTCTGTTCCTCCATTATTCACTGTCTCTAGGGCTGTCACTGATTTCTGCTGTGTACAGGGGAGCAGGACAACCAAGGTCACTCTCATCTCGCACTGCGGTTCCAAGCATTTCTTTCCTGTCGTGGATGAAGCACAAGTTTGTACAGTTTCATCACCTATTCCTTTGGACAATCTTGTACTTTCCCCTGTGAAACACAACAGAAACAATTTTCTAGGTACAGCTGGAGTGGTAATTTTTTTCTCGCACCGATGCCTTCTTTCCTGGCAGATCTCGCTTCTTGTGGTTGTGCACCTGTTAAGTGGGTATTTAGCATCAGGTTCTGTTAGGAAAGAGACAGAGGCCAAAAAATTTCTAGCCAGCCCCTGGCTCTGCAGGCGGACAAAATCTCAAGTAGAGTTTACTTGAAAGCCTGAGAAGCTGAAGATGGATGTTTCCAAATCCATCAGGGAGACACACTGCCATCTGCCTGCTCCTGGTAAAACTACTGTGTGTTTCCCATCGCAGCTCGCTGCCAAAAGTAAGAGGGACACTTTCCCTCCAGCACAACTCTGTGTATAACTATCACCCTTGTGATCACTTTGAGCTAAAGCACTTCAGGATAAGAGAGTCCTTCAGCAAGACCCTCATGAATGGGTGTGTTCCCGTCCTGTTTAATAGACTACATCCCCAGCAAAATTGGATCTCCCCACTATTTCCCAGCAAGTGGGCTACTGCAAGTCTCCAAACAAAGCTCACAATAATCAGTCCAGCATTTCAGTACTGTAGCACATTCCAGGATTCCTGCCTCCTATTTAGCTTGTGTCCCATCTAAAACATGCTACAGGGTTTCTGGGTGCTTTGCTGTGTACTTTTACCCCTTGTTTTCACAAGCAGTTTTCAAGTGCTACAGCATTCACCAGGTTTGATTTTTAGCTTTATAAGAACTGTTCAAAAGCGCAAAGGTCGTGGGCATAAATAAGTTAACTGTGACAAACAAAGCTGTCCTGACACAGTAATGAAAAAGGATTCACCACGGCAAGAAACAAGCTGAATTTATCTCTGGAAGAACCAGAGCTGTTTTTTCACATCTCCTAGCTCACTCCTCCCAAAAGGCCCAGCCTGCTCATTTGTATGCAGCTACCAGAGCACAGTCTACTCCAGAAGCCTGGAGCTTCCTGTGTCCTGAGCCACCGGACAAGGAGAAAACTCAAAGACATTCTTGACCACTCTGCATCAGACTGCAAAAAGCATCAGAAAACACAGTTCAGGCTGACTTGCGGGCTGTGGTGCTCCATTTGGTTGCACAGCATTGGCACCATTTCCCAAGTCCCAGTTCCAGTGCCTTAAAAGAACATCATCTGAAAATAGACTGTTCTCCTAAAATCACTTTTCCATGTAAGCAGTAACTGGTGTTTCTCCAAGAATGTGGTTTGGTTGTGAATGATAAAGGAGAAAAGGACAGGTAACAGCAAACTGGGAAGGGTGTCTCCAAACAAAATGTTTCTACCAAGCAATGCCTTTCTTTGCAATGGTCAACAGAACAAATGAACTGAACATCAGTGATCAACCAGAGGGACAATGTACAGACTGCTTTGCTCAATAGACTAAATTCTCATTGGAGTTCACGTTTTGCACCTTCTCTGAAAGCACCCAAAATAACCAAAATGACCAGTGTTTTCTTCCAATACTGGAAACCCTCTACACACTTCCTAAAGCACAAAAAGCTTAAAAGGAAAAACCAGCCAAGACACCTTCACAACCTAAACTGGCTGAGAAGAGTCACACAAAACCTAAGAGTAAATGGTTTGAAAAAACCTTACCTCATTCCAGAAGAAAAAGGGCTTGAAGAATTTGGAGCTGAATCCAATCCTTTTAGATTCCCTAGATCATTCTCAGCTTCTCCCCCAACTTTTAAAACATATGCTTACAACTCCCCAGGAAACTACATTTCACAGCTCCCTTGGTAATTAGCCCTCCACTTCTACATACTGTTCTCATCTCTAGACCCAGAACAAGCCTCCAAGTAGAAAACTTATCCTATAAATATCTTGGAACAACAGAATTTCACTTCCCATTCCTGGTACACCATGGATCAGGAGCACAGGAGAAAAGCTTAAGCTGCCGGATGAGCTTTGAGCTCTTGCTTTACTTTTCCAACCTTCTCTGTAAATTTCTTTCTACTCTAAAAGCTAATATTGTTTTTTTCATTGCAAGCAGCTATGGCATAGCCCCACAACCCCCTTATTAAGATTTAGTGCCCAAACCAGAAGGTCTTTCCTCGTTGCAATAATGTGACCTTCAAATCTAGCAAGGTTAATACTGAAGCATTATTTTAGAATTCATCACTTGAGCTGATGCAACTCAAACACAAGCCTACTGCAGCATGCTCATTTAAGCACTGCTTCCAGGGCTACAATTTTTCACAAATGTATTTATTCCTAATACTATGAAAAGAAGGGGGAGGGGAAGGAAAAAGGGAGAGAGAGAGGACAATATGCCATTGTGATTTATTGTAGAGTAGATTGTCTGCAATAGTGGAGTGCTCTTTCTTAATCAAAGCTTTATTAAATTCTGGTAATAAAAAGCTAAGTGTTTTTGGATGGGATAAAGGCAAAAAAAAGGCTAGCACGTTCATTTCAGGAACAGTCACGCCAGCAGCATATGACGGAGAACCCATGTTAAGGTCTTCAACACCCCCAACTAGCTGGTGCAAATGGTAAGCACAGCCTGCCATAGCAGAGCTGTACCCTGGTGATCACTAAGTCTCAGCCTTGTCTTCATATTATGAGAGCTGACAAGCTTGCAAGGGAGAACAAGGTCATCTCTTTTGGACTACGGAAGTTTTCCAATCCTTTGCCAACAGCATAATTGTTACCAGGTAATCACATGGTACAAGAGCACCATAGAACAGACTGGCCCCATTCTCCAGTGATAACTGGAGCAGAGCAAGAAGCATTGGAGAGGTTCCCCATTTCTTCCACCGTACCAAGCTCTGGGACAACCACTGTTTGCTAAAAACTCAAAATAAGGGTCTAATCCGGTTCCCTCAGCAGCTTGCTGCCCAGGACCTAGAGCACCATCTCGTAATGGAGCTGGGTCCACAGATCCGTGGGGCTCCAAGCATCATAGTTAGATGTATAGGAAACCACTGTGTTACTAACTCTCTGTTCTAAGCAGTGCTCTTTGGGACTGAGGGAAGAGGTTATACTAAAGGAGAATGAGGTTCAACAGGATCATTCTGTCCAACAGCACAACACAGAAAGGAAAGTCAGAAAGAGTATGAAAAAAAAAAAAGCTTACTTGATTTCAGCAAAGCTGCCAGAGCCCCAATGGCTGCCCTGGGGAAAGAAGAGAGATGGAGAAATAATGTCAATTTCTTTGATAATTTTTGTAACCTTCATCTTCACAGCCTTCTGAGCCAGGCTTCCCAGCTGGTCTAAATTGACAACTTATGATGGACTTTGACAGAACTGCAATGTTTTACACCAGCAGAGGATCCAGTCTCTGCAGCTGACTCAGTTATTCTAAAAGACCATTAGCCCTCTAGCTTTAGTGTTACACTGATTTGTAGTGACTGTTAAATTTAATGCAACACCCACATATCCTAAGCGATGAAGCAATTCTTTAAACTGCTGCCCCAGAGCTATTTCTTTGTATCAGAGAAACTGCATGAAGCTGGGACATCCATGTCCAATTCCATCCAATTCCACTCCCTTCTCCATTTTCCCGAAACAAGCTTCACCCCTGTCTCCTACCAGCTTTGACTGGGAAAAAAAAAATTCTTTTAATGATGACAATGTCTCGCATTGCAGTGGCAAGTAAAGTTCCCCACTCAAACCAGGACTTGTAAGAAAGATGTCAAAGCTCTGTGGTAAGACTGCTTACCCCATGGAACTTACAGTAAGCAGCTAGAGGGGAGAGAGACAAGGATTTCTGTTGGCCTTCTGTGTCATTTCCCTGTGCAGCTAAGCAACTCAACCCGAGTCAGCATAGCACTGATTTGAGCAGGAGCTGGTCACTAACACGTGCAGCTTGAAAAGCTGAACAGAAACATCCTTGCTCCCCACTATCTGGAAGCAAGTTTCTTCCTCATGGGGTATAATCTCCATCCCACTAGCCAGACAGAAGGTTTTCGTTTTCCAGACATGTTCTGCCAGAGCAAGAAGACCCAATGTTCTAACCTGGCTTTACTGCTGTGAAGTTTTAAGTGTCCACAGCTGATTAAATAAACACAGCTACAAAACACTCCATGCCCAAGGACTCCTTAAAATGTAGTCTATTCACAAACCAATCCCCAAATAAAATCATATTAACTTCCATACTAAGCCAATTATCATCCTGCAGCAAGAAATAAATATCTTTTTGTCATCAAGCTGCTGTTCATTGTGTGTCCTAACAGCAGCTGAGATTAAGAAAGATTCAAGAGCTGGTTCTTGCTGATGTTGGGTTTACATCCTTATCTAATGTCATTCTTTCATAATTCATCTGTTGGAGTTCAACAACAGCATTACAAACAAACTGCAAAAGAAACACACAAAACACAGACAAAACAGGAAAATCAGTAGCTAAAAATCTCACCAGTGGAAACACAGTCATGCTCTCATTGCTTCTTTAACTCCACCTAAACAGCAATCATTCAGCTTGTGGGAGAAATACTGTCACCCACCAGCTATTCGACATGCTCAGAAGAGGGATACGCTGCAGCCACAGATCACTCAGGCTTTCCCCAAGTTTAAAGTTTGGGACAAAGTAAACAGCTCTGAGGAAGTTAAAATTCTATCCTGAACATCTCCCAAAGCTCACGCTCAAGTATGTATCTTGTAGAGGACACTACATTACATAGCTACTAAGGCGATATCTCAATCACATGCCAGAACCGCAGAGCAACAAAGGAAGGAATGGAGTGTTTCTGGCTCCAAGTAGAAGAGACATTTTGGGGGTGTTTGAACATTTCAAAGGGTTTCAGTAGAGCTACATCACTGTCATAATATCAACACTGCCAGCAAACCTCCCATCAACCAATCAATCAGAAAATCTGGATTCCCGAATGTTTTTTTGGGGTCTGTAAGCTACACTGTGTGACAACTTCATTCTTCCTCAGCAGACCTCAGACCTCCCAAACCATGTTCTCACATTGCATAACCTCCTATTTCTACTATCTTTGAGTCCCCATTCTCTCCAATTCCTCATCACACTTGCCCCAGAAGACCTAAACTCTTCCTGACCATACCAGAGCTGATCCTTCAACAGCCTTAGACACCCCTCCCGGCTCACAGAGAGCTGCTCTGCTCTGAGCTGACACATAAGAGCTATTGGTGCTTTTGATGTGACTTGGGAGAACAGCTTTGCAACTGCTTTGCCTGTAAAGCTGAGAAACTGAAGACTATCAAAGATGTAAGTAAATCCACCCAGATGGTACTGCAGGACAGAAGAGGCAGAGATGTTCTGGAGAAAAAAAAATTAAAAGTGGTATGACCAGTGTCCCAGCACCATCACTCAGCAGAATCAGAAATTTTCACAATCACCACCTAGTTCTGAAGCAACATTACAGGCACGCTGCTGTAGCTAGCTGGATTTTCCAGATCCCAGGCTAACAGCCTAGACACTTCCTCATCTCAGTCCATGTTTGTACATGGTATTGGAATAAAGTGGAACCAAACTGGTACATTTCATCTCTTCAGTACTGCAATTTGTCACAAGGGTTTTGACAATGTGCAGGCGCAGACCCAGTAGACTTACCTCAACAGTATGCATTGCTTTAGAATAAATTTTGAAAGAAAAAAATAAAGGCATGAGGGTAAAGTGCAAAACAGATAAAACCGGTTTAAGGGATAAAATGGACTTACCAAGAGTAGACCAAACCAGCCTAACTTGATATTTTTCTTTGATGAGATAACCAGTTTTTCCAGATAAGGGAAAGATCTAATTTATCTGTACTTCAATAAAGCATTTGATATTGTGCCACAAAGGAAATTAGCTAAGCTGGAGAACACGGGGATTAGTGTAAGAATCGAAAGGTGGGTAAAGAACTGGTTAAAGAGGCACTGACAGGAGTTGTGCCAAAAAAGGAATTATTAGTCTGGAGGAAAGTTATGTGTGGAAATCCTCAAGGATATTTTGAGACTGATCTTACTTTATCATTTGTTAATGACCTTGGCACAAAAAGTCAGAGTATACTAACAAAATCTGCTGACCGTGTGAAGTCAGGAGCTACTGCCAACAGCAGGGAGTTAGAATATCTTTCGGGAGTAACAGGATGTTCTTGAGTTCTGAAGCAATAGAAATGTGATGAAATGTAATAGTCAAAGTGCAAGGTTACACATTTAGGGTTTAATAAGAATTGCTGTTATGAGCAGGGGCTCATAATTTGGACATAAGTAGAAGGACAGCCTGGATATATGAGCCCATTAGAGGATGAGGACAAGCATGACCCAGCAGGGTGACACAGCCATGAGAAGGACAGACCAGGTCTCAGGAACACCACTGCCAGCAGAGAAGGGAAAGCATGAATGTTTTCATACAAGGCTTCCCCTGAACAGCTGTGTGAGTACTCAGAAGGAACTGTGCAGAAAAGGGCTAACAGAAACACATCACATGAGGAGTCTTAAACACCACAGTTTTGACACCTTAGCAAAATGACAGTTAAGAAGTGACTTGATTGTTCTCTGTAGACACATTGGATGGGGGAGAAGTAAACACTGAGGAGGGCAGAGAGCTACTTAAGCTAAAGAACAAAGCTGGCACAAGGACAAGTGGATATAAAATGGTCATGAATAAATTTCATCTGGAAATTAAAGGATGATTTTTAAGCACTGGAAAAATTAAGCTCTGAAACATCCTCTTGGCAGCAATGGGACGAACAACCTAAGGGAGCCTGAATTGCTTATAATGGGACTGATAGACACAGTTGCCAGCAAGGAAAGGGTCTGAAAAGAGTGACCCAGGAATGACTGTAGTCCTATACCCCTACATTTTAATCACAGATAAAATAGAAGTGAAATGAGAAACAGGTCTTCTAAGCACAAAGTTAATTAGCCAGGCCAGAAAAGAGCCACTGCATCAGCTTAAGCTGAAAGCCCAAATGGTCTAGTATCCTGTGGCCAACAGTGGCCAAGGGAAGAGTACAAGATTGCAGCAAAAAATGCAGTGCTAGAACTTCCAGAACAGACTCAGACTCCTGCAATTTGCAGTCAAGAAATTTTGAAAGTTAGCAAGGTGCCTTTGGGAGGCTTTTTAGCTCTTAGCTGATATTGCTTCCATGCATTTGCCCGGGCATTTTTGAACTTATGCAAACTCTTAGCATCCACAATTAACCCAAGAAAGGAGTTCACACCTACACTGTGCAAAAAGTAGCCTACCTGTGTTAAGTTTGGACTTTAAATCAGCATTGTAATTTACACTTTAAGTCAGCAGTCAGCAAGTATCCCCAGAATATTACTTATCCTCAATGCCAAACAAATTCAAACATACAAAACACCCTATGGGAAACAAATAAAACAATAAGTCATAGAAGAGAATGTAGAATGGACTCTCACTGAGAACAGCAACAAGCTGAGGGATGTGTCAATAAGCACATATCAAGCCAGGCAAATGGTGTTTACGATAGTATCAATACCTCTTAACACCATAAGGCAAACCAACAGCACCTCTTCTGGCATCAGACAATATAATGACATGAGTAAGCCTGGGACATGAAGATAGAGAGAAAGGACATAATAAACTGTGCATGAGAGCAAGGACAAGGCAGGGGGGAAGATGGGAACAGGAGGAAAAGTTTAAGAGCACAAGAAAGATGACTTGATGAGCCATATGCTAGACCAGAGAATTTGATAGCGTGCCCAGTGCAGAACTCTGCATTTGTCTCAAGAAGGTATGAGGGGAAAAAAAAATAAATCATTAAAAAAACCTGCCAAACCTGTCCAGATGCTTTCCTCTGATTTTTCTGTTGTTTGTGGTAATATGTTAGTAAAATCTTAGCTGTTTTGTCAATCCCAGTGTATCTCAAAGCAGACTCATTTATACATTTAAAAAAAAAAAAAAAAAGAAAGGATGTATAAATAAAGTTGCCCTATCTTAAAAGGCATAATAATAAATGCTGCTCCGTAATCAGAGAACATTAACAGGTCCCTGTAGTAGCAGTCAAGACAGCCACTGTGAAGGATGGAAATCTTTGAAATGCTTCCAAGTCAGCAGTTGGGATATCAGTGCAGGAGTACAGCTAGCAGACACACAGACAAACAGCTTCCAGATCCTGTGCTTAGGAACCAGGAGCAACAACAAAGAAAAACTCCACTTCCCAAGCCAAACAACAATTGGATTAGCCAGTAAAACCAGGCTG